TGGAATTTACAAGTTCTTAATTCCAAAACTGACAAAAAGTAATTATCCCTAAGGCACTGAGATATACGATAAAGACAATGCAAAATACAGAAGCACATTGACGCTGTATTTTGACAACTTCATCTCAAGGAAAAGATGGAACTTTCCATCTGCCTCCCATCACCTAGCCAGTACCACTGTTTATATACTGCAGGTAGATTTCTCACTTGTAGAAATATAAAGCTTGCATATTGATAGATGCTTGCACTGTTGGCCACATCTCTGGAAGGCACAGATGCAATTATTTGTCTGTATCTCTGGGCTTTGAATTATAACTCTCTCAATCTATATTATGTAATGGGGCTAAAATTCCTAGAGTGATATATGAAAAACGTTCTTAGTTTTCAAAAGAGAAGAGCTTTAAATCTCTAGAAACTGAAGGCTGGCATATGTCACATGATGCTGAAAGACTGTGTTTTGTCTGTTATACATTAGATTTTGGTCACTAACAGTATTCAAACAAAGATTCTTGTTAGGCTCTGGATCCCAAACCCAAGTGGCTCTAGGAGCATTGCAGTGACTGGAAGGTCATTCCAGCTTGCAGTGTTTTAATCTCTTCCAGGTTGTAAACTGCAGTGTGTGTTTGGGGAAAGTCATCTTTTTTAGCCTGATAACATTCAGACTTTCACTCAGTTCTGAAGCAGGTGTTTTGTTGCCATTTTGGTGCTACCAAGGCTGTTATTAAATCCATTACATTTTTCAATGTCTCCACTTGGAAATGTTAAATGACAAAATTAGTCCCTGTGTATAACTCGCTGTTTTGCTGGTTTTTTTAAAAAAAATGATGTCTCTGCAAAATGTAATGAACTTGTGAAAATACAGTTTTTGCTATCAGTAGCTTTAAATAATTTATCTGAAAGTAAGGGAGAGAACCCACAATGTGATTTACGTCTTCAAGTCTAGCACAAATAGTGTGTCCGTGAGAGAAAAGCACCTCACGGAGTTTCTGTCCCAGTTAACTTTGCCAACTTGGCACAGCCTAGAGTCATCTGAGAAGAGAGGCTTCAACCGAGGGATTTCCCAGATCACAGTGTCCTATGGGCTTGTCTTTGGGGGGTTGCCTTGATTACTAATTGATGCAGGAGAGCCTACCCCTCTGTGCATAGTACCATCCCTAAGCAGGTAGTCCAGGACACAAGCTCAGCTTCAATATGACGATGCAGCAATGCTTACCCAACCCCAAGCTCTACGGCAACACAGGACTGTATAAAAAAGTAGCTAAGCATGAGTTTGAGAGCCAGCAAGCAGAGTTCCTCCATGGTTTCTGTTTCAACCCCCTGCCTTGAGTTACTGTCCTGACTTCCCTCAAAAATAGATTGTAACTTGGAAGTGTAAGCCAGATAAACCCTCTCCTCCCTCTAGTCGCTTTTGGTTAGAATGTTTTATCACAGCAACACAGAGGAAGCTAGAACAGTCTCTTTCCTTTGTTAGACATATCAGATGTATGTGTGTATGCATGTTCTACGGTATGTGTGAGGTGAGGTATATTGTATGTAAAGGCCCCTCTCCTGGGTCTGCTTCCTCTTCAGTGGCAGTGATGGTACCTGTGAAGAAATTCAGGTAGGGAGAGAAAGAGATAAGCACATGGCAACTTCCAGGCTCCATCCTGTGCCAGCTTTTATTTCCTATCCCTTGAGTTTCTGTTTGCTGAGTTGTTTGTTGTTTGGTTTTATATTTCCCTGTGTGGGCTCCAGCCCCAGATCCAGTCAGTCCTCATCACAATGAACTGATGATGGCTGAGCTGCAGCGATCATTTTGTGGAAACACAGAACTATGCAACTCTCACTTTCTAATTGAATTATGAGATCCTAAGCATCACCGCAATCTAGTTACAGTGACTTCTGCTTAGCCTCAAAGGACTTCACACTTTACAGCGCTTCCAGAAAGCAGTCAAAAGTGTACACACACACACACACACACACACACACACACACACACACACACATCTATCTGTAAAACTACAAAGAGCGCCATAGCAAGGTCCTAATTTTGTAAGTTCAGTTTCCCTAATGAGAATGTTTCTGTACAGTTCCTACAGTCATGATACCACAATTTTGGAGTCGGATAGGACATCTCTTCTTCAGGTTGAATCTCTGATCTAAGAGGTCTCTTATCTACCTTTACAGTATTTCTGGACCTGCCTCTTCCCCATCCTGGCTGCCATTCTCCCAGTGCATGTTGAATCAGATCTCATCTGGGTAACCACAGTAATCCTAGTGTGTCACCTATTCTGTTCCTTCCTTCCATCCTTCCTTCCTTCCTTCCTTCCTTCCTTCCTTCCTTCCTTCCTTCCTTCCTTCCATCTTTCCTTCCTTTCTCATCACTTCTACAAGTAATCTATCTAAAATACATACTTGATATTAAATTTAACTTCACATCTGTGAATAAAAATCTGATTAACAGAGAATTCTTCATCCGCATGTCACCTTTTCTTCTACAGTCAAATCTCTGGGTGTCAGGTGGCTTCTCACCACTGGGCTGGGGGCAGACTGAGGAAAACAACTTAAACAAGGAAGGTTTATTTTGGATTGTGTTTCCAGAGGTTTGAGTCCCTGGTCACTTGGCTCCATTGTTTCTGGGCCCAGATATGCAAGGTAGAACATCAGCATGTGGAGCAGGCAGACAGGAAACAGAGGCAGAGACAGGAAGGATCCAGGAACAAGACAAGCCCTTCAGCATGATCCCAGTGACTATGCCCTGCCTCTCAGCAGCCCATTCAGCCATGAACTCACACATGAACCTTTTGGGAAGACATTTAATATAAAAGCCATAACATTTTGCCTGTGGTCTCCAAAGTCTCATGTCTAACTTATACAAAATGCTTATATCATCTCAAAGAGTCCCTGAAGCCTTAACAGTTCTAGTGTTGCTCAAAATCCAATTTCAAAGTCTCTTCTAAGAGTCACAGTGAAGTCTTAGCTGTAAGCCCCCATAAAATCAAAAAGAAAATTACATAGGCTATAGATGTAGTTCAATAGCAGTATGTTGGCCTGCAATCCATGAACAAGGCCCCAAATTTGATACCCAACACTGAAAATAAAATGAAAAAAAAGAAAAAGAAAATGATCCACCTCTAACATACAATAGCACAGGTTAAACACAAGACTGAGAAGATAGTAAGACGTGGACTGAGACAAGACTGAAACTCCACAAGGCAAACAGTAAATCCAGTCCTTCGGGTTTGCCATCTGAGACAGGGCACCAAGTGTGGCCCTCCAAAGGCTTGGGCAGACGCAGCCCCATGGCCCCCGTGGCCTTTTTCCTGCACTGTCATTACTGGCTGAAATTTTCCTCAACAGTTTTCCATGCTCATATTTTATGCACGGGAAATATGGAGGTTCCTTGATCTCCGTTGCGGTTTCTCACAGTGCCCTTTCAGGGGTACACCTGAAGGCACGTTAACCCTGTCGCACATTGCCTGGCTCCCTATGCTTTCCTTTGTATTCTGGGTGGAGGCCTCCATCACCCTATACCTTTTACATTCTAGATGCCTGAGAAACTGGCATTATATGAAAGATGCCACAGTCTCTGTCCAGAGGGGAAGAACCAGGTCCTCTTGGAACATAGCTGCTGGTGCCTCTTTGTGCCTGAAGAACTGAGCACAGAGATGTCTTACCGGAGCATTCTCCTCTCAAAGCAGCCTTCCCAGTGAGCCACAGCCTTGAGCCACTGATGGATGTTAGCAGGCCAGTTCCTGCCGTTTCTTCATGGCACCTTTTCTCTTATCCCAATGCCGAATACTTGGTTTTCTTTTAACAGTGCTGATCTCTTAACCAACCACACCTTCCTGGGCCCCAACTTTAAACATGGTCCTTTTCTGGCCATATTAAAAGTCTTTCTGTTCCTTCTCCTCTGCTTTTTGCTATCAGTTCTCATTGTAAATCTGGCTAAAATCAGCCAGCATTATCTATGCCACAGCCTGAATGTTGGGCCACTTTGACTTTCGTCCAGTAGATTTGTCTGTCATCTTTAAATTTAGCCTCACACACAGTCTCAAGGCATGAACAGAATTTAACATTCATGGCCCCTTGTCCAGTTCCCAATAAAGTCTTCATTTCCATTTGAAACCTCACAGGACAGTTATTACCAGCATTTTTATTGTATTCTGGACTCTGTGCTTCCTCCAGACTTTCCCATTAAGCTCTGCTTGCAGCATTCTAGAAGTTTCTCCGGTCTGCATTTCCAAACTTGTCCACGTTCTTCCCACAAACCAGTCCCAAAAGGTTCTAAACCACATACTTAAAAATGGTCACTAAAATGACCCTACTTTCTACTACCAATTTTCCATGTTAGTCCGTTTTTTGGTGCTGTGACAAAATGCTTGAATGGACAACTTAAGGGAAGAGGATTTGTTTTTCTCACCATTTCAGAGGTTCTAATCCACAGACACTTCATCCTACCACTGTGAAGCAGGGCATCATGGTCAGAGCAAAACTGCTCAACTAGTGGCAAATGTGAAGTTGAGAGATCCAGAGAGAAAGGGTCTGGTAACAGGATATACCTTTCAACTTCATACCCTCAGTGATGTATTTCCTCCATTTTTGCCCCACCTCCTAATAGTCCATTCAGCTTTGAATCTGTCACTGAATTGCTTCATTGATGATGTTAAGCACTCTCATGATCTGATCACCCCTCAACAGTACTATCAGCTAGGGATCAATCCTTCAACACATGAATCTTTAGGGACGTTTCATATTCAAATCCCTCTGCCTGTCTCTTGTAAGAACAACTATGATTGCATCTGGGACTCACATGAAGAATTCTGGATAGCGTTACCATCTTGAGCACATTAACTTAATCATGTCTGTTTTTGCTGTATAGCATAACCTCTATAGACTTCTGTGTACTAACCAGACTACAACAGACACTGACTGCCTGAGCGCTCACAGAACAGACCCTGCAATATTGCTTCCGTTTTCCTAAGGAACCTTGATTCTCACCAAGCTGTTCTCTTTCCACAGGCAGATGTGAGGGTGACTTCTTCCAGGGAGACCTGCAACCCCCAGACTGAGGCTCGATGGCCCAAAGACAGTGTGGACAATGCTGAAAGCCTGGATCAACAAGCCCGAATAGGAAGCTTGCCTGGAACTATTCCAGAAAGTTCTCCATCTCATAGTGAAAGAAAAGGGAGAGTCAATTCAGGTAATCGCTTGCCTCTGTTTTTGTGGATCTAGTGTATAGTTTACATATTTGATGGCTCATTTAGCACCTCTTTTGGGGTTGTGATGTACTTTAAATGGCCATCTCTAAGACATTAGAATTTAGTCTCAGGCCTTCATCATGTGAGCAATAATGCTGCTAGCCATTAATCTTCTTGTCAATGAAGTAATTAAGGCCATAATTTTTTAAAGAGCCCTTATTGGGAATTGAAATCACATTTTAGGAAGAGGAATCATACAGCTTAAAGGAATTTAAACTGCCACTATGTTGACATCTTCCTAAGAGAAAGTTCTACATTTGCAAAAATAAATAAAACCATTAAATGGCCATCCTGCCTCTCCCCATTCAAAATATCAGCAAATATATTATATAAAGAATTTTCCAAGGGGCTGGAGAGTTAGTTTTGCAGGTAAGAGCACTGGCTGCTCTTGCAGAGGACCTGGGTTCTATTTCCATCACCCACATGGCGGCTAACAACTGTCTGTAACTCCAGTTCCCAGGGAATCTGACACCTTCTTCTGACCTCCATGGGTGTTGTACAACATAGGTACACTTACACACATGCAAGCAATATACTCATACACAGAAAATAAAAATAATAAATAAAATTTTAGAAAAAAAGTTTTCCGAAAACAAAAAAAAGAAGTAATTATGATCACGTGTGGTATTTAAAAACTGTTTGTGGCTTCTCCGGTGCTCTGCTTTCTCTTTCTTTGAGTTATTCCCTGGTATTGATTGATGATGTCTTATTCATAGATGGTCAACCTTTGAAACAAAATGAACTTCACAGATCTGGAGAGAAAGAACCTTGTTCTGTTTTAGGGAAGAACTTTCATTCCATGTCCCTGTAATTTCTTCCCTCCCTACAAGTTGGCGAGTAGCTAGGGTAGGGCCTGGAGAGATGGCTCAGTGGTTAAGAGCACTTGCTCTTTCGAAGGACCTGGGTTCAGTTCTCAGAACCCACATCGGACAGCTCACAACAGCCTGTAGCTCCGTCTTTTGCCCTCTTTAACTACCTGAACTCATGTGATACACATATATGCTCTCAAGCCCACATACAGACACATAAAATCTTAAAATTACAGTTTTAAGAAAGTAGTTGGGGTAACAGATGAAATACTTTTTAGTAGACTATCTTGATGTACTCCAGTTATTAGATTCCATATCGTTTACCTCTTATGGCTCTGATGCAGGCGGGTCAGAACTCAAAAGATGAAGCTGGCATTAGGAAGAGCGTCCTTTTTTTTTTTCACCTTAGTTAGCAGACTGCATTTTCAGGAAGTTATCAGGAAGCTGGGGATGACTGGAGTGCTCCAGGGTGGTCAGTCCTGCCAGCTGTGTGCTCTTAGAGGCACTTTAAGGAGGTGGTTGTCCAGACACAGGACACTGCTAAAATGAAGTTAGCCAGCAGAGCAGATGTTTCTAAAATATAGTGCAAAGGAGCTTTCAGAGCATCTCATTATAGAATGGCTCGGACTTTGCATATCATCTCCTCCCTGCCTCCCAGCTCTTGGCTGTCTTCTTCAGCCAACTTCACACATACAGAGTGTTTTTAAGAATTTCAAGTTCCAAGCTAGACTAGGTGCAGCAGTGCATACCTGCAATCCCAGCACTCAAGAGGCTGAGGCTGGAGGATTACAAGTTCGTGGCCAGCCTGGACTACAGAGTGAGTTCCAGGGGTAGCCTTTGCTGCCCAACAAGGTGTTTGAAAACAAAACAAAACAAACAACAACAACAACAACAACAAAAGATTTTCAAGTTTCACACTAACATGTCCCAAGTACTCCCTGACTTTCAGAGTTAAGTCCTGATAAACCCATCATCAGTTGATAACAAAATTAAGTTGAAACTGTTGACTACTGGTAACCTACCCACCATCCTAGCTCGGCTAACGTGGCACACTGTAGAGTGTTAGTTAGCACCCTATGATGGGTGAGTTCAATACCCAGCACTTAAGAGAGAATGGAGTCATAAGCCTTAAATTGAAACTGTGGTTTCTGTTGAATGCATATGATTGTTTTTCACCAAAATAAAACTGAAAAGTCCAAGACTGTATTTCCTTTCTAAAGAAAAAACATTGGTTTTAGTAGTGTAAGATTCAAGGCAAAAACAGATGGTGCAAAAATAAATAAATAAATAAATAGTATTTATAGTTTCTCATCCAGATTCCCCAGATGTCAACATATCACACTTGCATGATCACACCCCTCCATACACAAGTGTACTTCTTTTCTGAGAATAACTTAAAACATAAAGGTACTTTCTTTCTAAACATGCTTGTGTGGACTTCCCCAAACAGGGATGCTCTTTGCACAGTATCTAGGTAAAGATCAAAATCAGGAAGTAACCACTGTGACTCTGTTGTCTCCTCTCCATACCACATTCAGATCTCAATTGTGTCACAAGTATCCTTGATGAATAAATTTCCGATTCAGATCTAACTCTGACACATTCTTTGTATTACCACGTGGCTTTAGTCTCCTGTCATCTGAGCAATCCCTTAACATCCTTTTTTAAAAAGTTAATTAACTTTCGGGGTTGGAAAGATGGCTCAGCAGGTTAAGAGCACTGGCTGTTCCTGCAGAGGACCCAGGTTCAGTTACCAACACGCACATGGCAGCTAACAACTGCCTGTAACTCCAGTTCCAGGGGATCTGACACCCTCTTCTGACCTCCTCGGGCTTTGCACAACACACGTGAACTTATATACACACAGACAATAAACTCACACACACAAAAATAAAAATAATAAATATTTTTTAAAAATAAAAATATTTCTAAATTAACTTTCAAAGAATACAAATTTTTAAGTAAAATAGCTTTAAAATTAGTTAACTTGCATATGTATGTATTTATGGTGTGTATGTATGCATGTTCTCGTGTATGTGGATGCATGTGTGTGCATGTTTATGTGCAGAGGGAGGCCTGAGATTGACATCAGGTTTCCTCCTCCACCAATGTCCACCTTATACACTGAGGCAGGGTCTCTCCTTGGGCGTGGAACTTGCTGTTTTGACTAGTCTGGCTAGCCAGCTGACTCTGGGGGATCCCTGTCTCTGCTTCTTTCACACTGAGAATGTAGGTGGGACACCGCATGCACACAGCTTTTACTTGGGTCCTGGGAATGCAAACACCAGTCCTGTGCTTGCATGGCAAGTGCTTTACCCACCAAGCCATCTCCCTAGCCCTTTTTCTTATCTAAGATCTAGATACATCCAGGACATCTGGTTCATAGACTGTTCCTCAATTACAGGTATTTTTATGTTCTCTAAATTTACTATGGCAACCATATACTAACTTTATGTGATGGTCAGTTTCAACTGTCAATTTCATTGTGTTAAGAAAAACCTAAGGCATGCATGAGCAAGGTGAGCCTCTGGCTGTGTCTGTGGAGGTATTTCCAGAGAGGTTTAACTGAGGAGGGACAATCACACTGGCAGGGTCTCTCCTTGGGTGTGGAACTTGCTGTTTTGACTAGTCTGGCTAGCCAGCTGACTCTGGGGGATCCCTGTCTCTGCTTCCTTCACACTGAGAATGTAGGTGGGACACCACATGCACACAGCTTTTACTTGGGTTCTGGGAATGCAAACACCAGTCCTGTTCTTGCATGGCAAGTGCTTTACCCTCCAAGCCATCTCCCTAGCCCTTTTTCTTGTCTAAGATCTAGATACATCCAGGTCATCTGGTTCATAGACTGTTCCTCAATTACAGGTATTTTTATGTTCTCTAAATTTACTATGGCAACCATATACTAACTTTATGTGATGGTCAGTTTCAACTGTCAATTTCATTGTGTTAAGAAAAACCTAAGGCATGCATGAGCAAGGTGAGCCTCTGGCTGTGTCTGTGGAGGTATTTCCAGAGAGGTTTAACTGAGGAGGGACAATCACACTGAGTATGTTTGGCTCCATCCCACTGGCTAGGGTCCCGGACTAAATAACAAAAAGGAGAAAGCCAGCGAACATAGTCTGTGCTTCCAGGTCAGTGCCACAGTCCAAGCTGCTCCCCCCACCCCACCTTCCCCTCCATGAGGAACTATATTCCTCTGAACTGTGAGCCAAAATAAACCCTCCCTTAAGTTGCTTTTGGTCATAGCAATGAGAATAGTAACTAACACACTCCATAATAGAAGAGCATACTGTAACCTTTAAACATTGCTTGGTATTTTCCAATGTCCCAAGAAAACCTAAGAATCAATTGAAATAACTGACATGGTCCAGGCGTCTCTGTGTGGGGTTAAGACAAATCCTTTTGCAGACTCACAGAAGAATGGATAGAAGTGGCTACAATAATTTCATTGTTAGTGACAAAACATGTCATCCTCTTGGCAGCATCCTGGATGAGAGATGGAGTAGGAGCAATGGGGTTGCTCACAGGTTATAGTTGGGAGAGGAAACGGCGAAGTTGAGAGATGGTGTTGACCTTGGAGTCAGTCCAAGTTAACACACTTGCTAGTCTCGTCCCCTTGAAGAAGTTAATTAGTGTGTTTCATATCAGCGTGCTTGTTCATAAAATAGGGACAATAACGCTTCTCTCACAGAGTTTATGTTTGAAATGATGTTATACAGACTATAAAGTACTTATAATGCAAGTGTGCAGATGTTCAATAAATAGCAGTTACTATTATGTTAACCCTTCTAGGTAAGTCCAACCTTTCTGTTTGTTTTGTTTTGTTTGAGACAGAATCTCATGTAATAGCCCAGACTGGACTTAAACTTATTATGTAGCCAAGAATGACCTTGAACTCCCGACCCTCCTGCTTCCACTTCCTGAGTGCTGAGATAACAAGCTTGAGGTGAACAGTAGACAAGTCCACCTTTTAACAACAATAAAGTCACTCCAACTCCATGAAGGGAATTTACCTGTGACCTTTACATTGAATTGTTCTCCATCATTCCAAGTTTCTAGTCTACCCATGTAAATGACCTGTTTGACCACCCTCTACCAGAATATGTGCAGAGCATTTTGCATTGAGAACTGGTTCTATTTCACACACCTACAAGGCAGACGAGCCAGCAGATCAGAACTTTATGGATTGCCAGGTGATAGTTGCTCAGAGAACTCTTTTGTACCAGGTGGACTAATGGTCTGAAATGAGAAACAGGTGGTCAGCGGGTATGCACATCTGTGGATATCTTTTCAATCAGCAAAAGCTCACGAAATCTGTCTTTGTAACCAGTGTGGTTGGAAACATCTATAAAAACCTCTATCAACGGAACAGAATGGACTTGGCTATGATTGGAACTTTTGGAAAAGAGCTCATTTCAGAGGAGTCTGACAAGAAAGTGGGGCCACCTTTACAAGTCAGCAGCCTTTACTTTGCTGTTTGTTTATTCCAGCTCCTTCTTCCCCCCACAGCTACCTCCAGGGCTCATTTTTTAAATCAATAATAGGATTTTAATTCCAGCTCCTTCTTCCCCCCCACAGCTACCTCCAGGGCTCATTTTTTAAATCAATAATAGGATTTTAGCTAATATCACTCTAGCTCCAATTCCGACATGGTTCAAAGATGCCAAAAAGATGTGCTCCCTCAGTAGGCTTAGCAGATACTGAAACTGTATACCAGGGTTGTGGAACCAGATGGCTCTTGGCAACTTCATGCTGCTTATCATTTGTATACAAAGCATAGAAATCAAACTGCAGCTTGTAAGAGTCACCTGAAGAATGTGTTGAGTCTTAGCTGTAGCTGAGTGTCATAATTAGCGAACAAACCTGTGTCATCTGACCCAAGTGTTTAAGTGTTGTCACAACAAAAGGACTGTGCACAGCAGCACAAGGAAGAAGTTGTTATGTTAATATGAGACCTGCTAAGTAAAGAATAGAGTACCTAGGTGTGTTGGTGTATTTCCTCAGTAAAGACAGCAAGAATTTGAACTTCAAAGGATACAACGTTTTAAAATAGAATCCAGATAATGGAACTGGTGAGATGGGCTCTTGCTGCCAAGTCTGACAACCTGAGTTCAGTCCCTGGACCCATATGTTGGAAAGAGAAAAACTGATTCCCTCAAGTTGTCTTCTAACTGTCACACTCAAGCAGTGGCACCCTCCTGGCACACTCGTGCACACACGCACACACATGCGCACACACAGAGATCAATAAATATAAAAATCTTAAAAAAAAAAAGAAATTAGGTACTTAGGCAAGAGCATTTTTAAAATTTACTTATTTTGTGTCTGTGCATGTGTGTGTATGTGTGAGTGGTGTCGGGGGGGGGTGTGGGTGTGCATGTGATTGTCCATGCCTATATGAATGGAGTTTAGAGGAGGATGTCAGGTGTCCTGCTCTATCATTCTTTGCCTTATTCCTTTGAGATAGGGTCTCTCACTAAACCTGGAACTAGGCTGATGGCCAGCAAGTCCCAACAATCCTCCTGTCTCCTCACAGCCCATTCACAGTACTGAGGTGACAGGCATGATGACCGCACCAGACTTTATACATGGATGCTGGGGATTTGGACCCAGATCCTCATGCTTACACAAGTTCTCGTAGTCACAGAGCTATTTCTCCTGCCCCCATTTAGCATGGGATTGAAAAAAAAAATCTTCATTCTTGAATTTCTTTTTCTTTTTTCTTTTCCTTCAGAAGACCCAGTGACCAATGGATTAACTAATAAACCCCAACTCCTAGAGAATCGAGAGCGACTGAAGTCATCAGACATCCTGGAGGAGCTAATCGTTCAAGGAATCATACAGAGCCAAAGCAAAGTGTTTAGAAATGGGGAATCATATGACGTCACGGCAAGTGATTTCATAATTAACATTCATTTATACTTAAAATTATCAAAAGAATATGATTGGTCACAGGTCATTATTTTCAGTATATAGAAGCTACATTACATATAATAGCATTTATCTAAAACAGATTTTTCTCCCATAAATTCCCTTACTTTTCTACCACAATCATTCTCAGTTGATTCAAGAATTGCCCCACTCATTAATGATTAATAAATCCAATAGAACATTCCTTAAGCTTTATTAAATTTGGATGCAATAAGCCCTAGTGAATAGTATGTTTTCATTCTTTCAGAAACTTACTAAACATTGCCCTGTAGAATATAAAACTAAACCGTTGATTGTCCAAAAGGAGAGGGGAAACCAGATGCCAATGCCAAAGCTACAGCAGACGTGCTCACATGGCTCCCCAAGTGTGTAGGCCAGAACAAGCAAGAGGAAGTGGAAAGTTCCAGAGGTGGCTGAGCTACTGCTTTTCTTTGTGGATTCATCTTGATGAATCTGTCATTGAGTTTTTTTCAGTGTGAAGAATATTTTTCCTCTGGTTTTAACTGATTTGATGAAAGTCTCAGGCTCCAAAATTTTATTTACATGTGTGTACGTGTGTGCATGTTCAGGTGTGGGGAGGTTCCTTCCCTGTTACTTTTGTCAGAGTATTCTGTGACAGCAACCTGGAGAAATTAAGACCCAGCATCAGATGACATTTCCACAATTATACTGTGACCCAGTGTTTGAATGATGATATATGCCTGGTTGTATTTGAAAATACTGGAAGAATAGCTCTTTAATCATGAAGGGGAGAAGCTATTTCTCCAGCTATAGATGAGTCTTGAGGAGCCAGAAAAAAGAAGTTGTGTTAAAAGACAGGGATGAAATTCGAGTGTAAGAGGCTCTATCATGAAAATAGCCCCTAAGTGGTGCTTCTTTAAATGAGAAGCAGCACATGCCTCAATGCTAACACCAGTAGTAAAAACATTAAAACCTATTTCAGTGAGCCAGTCACCAGAGGTGAAACAGTTCTGACATATTTTGCAAGGGAGCACACAGGTCAATTACCATAAGTTTTAGGCGAAGAAATATATCTATTAACGGCAATGATGGGTTTGACTTTTGATGACATCATTAAGTGAACTAAGGGTGAAATCGGTTGTGATGTTATATAGAATTATTAAAATGAATCAGATAGAGCAGAACAAAACAGGGACACTCTCAGTAGACTTTTATGTGACAGGCCACAAGTATAGCACAGTTCCTTCCTCCTTGGTATTAGACCTACGTATTCCATAGAAGCTCACAACAAGCCAGAACGAAAGCATGTAGCCACCTTTGTTTTATTTCTTAATTTCATCTCTTTAATCTGACATTGGAGTAAGTCACTTGGGAAGATTTCAAGAATTTCAACACCCAGATCACATCGTGAATTAGTGACAGAGTATAAGGCTTAGCTTTCATGCTTTCAAAAACTACTAGATGATTCTGTAAGCGGCCCAGCCTGAGAACCACAACGCTTACCACAAACCCACAGGTGAAGCTGTACGCTCCTTATCAGGTGGGAAGAGCTAAAGCTTCTGTAATTGTAGCCCATTTCAGCTTATTGTAAAACAGAACTGTAAAGTGTTCCTTAAAATATAACATTTCAAGAAAAGGGACACAGAATCCTCGGGAGTGAAGAACAGGTGCGGGGGTCGCTGAGGTAGACTCTCTCAGCTCAGGTGTGCTTGAGTATGTAGCTGTCACATACCATGTGCCTTAGATATTTGGAGCACGGTTATGGGTATAATTTAAAACAATGAATTTTGAAAGAATGTAGGGGAATCATATAAACTATGAGAAGTTACACTGTTAATACTTTTAATATTTAATATTTTTAGAAAACTTGATATTGACCAAAAACCAAGCCAAGAAATCAAGGGAAATTAAAAGGAAATAGTTCAAAACCTGACAGAAATGTCAGCAGCTATTACACAGTTATAAATTCAATGAGATGTGCAAACATTAGTTCTTCTTTACTGTAGAGAATTTTGGACTTGTTTGTTTTTGTTTTTGAGACAGGATCCTACTGTGTAGCCTAGGCTGCTCTCAAACATGTAGTCTTCCTGTGTTGGCCTCCCAACTGATAGGAGTACAGGTGTGTGACACAAGTGTGAGAATACTTTAAAAATAAGACTCCTGGGACTGAAGAAGATGGCTCAGCTGTTAAGAACACTGACTATTCTTGCAGAAGACCCAGGTTCGAATCCCATCACCCACATGGCAGCTAACAACTGTCCTTAACTCCAGTTCCAGAGTATCCGATGGCCTTTTCTGTCTTCTATGGGCAGGGCATGACATGGGTACACTTACCTACATGCAGGCATAGCACTCATATACATAAAAATAAAATAATAAATAAAATATTTTAAAAGTAAGACTCCTGGTGTGGACCAATAGTATTGATAAACACAAAAGGACTCTGGACATAGATCTATCCTCTTCTTAGCCAAGTCATTTTCCTTCATTGTGTTTGCACCTAGAATGTGACAGGATAGATTGAGATTCCTTCATTCTTCTCCTAAATTGGGGGCTTCTTAGTAAACCAATCACTTCCTACCTGCCCATGGAAATACCTGTGTCCACCGCAATGCCCCCTTCATTTTTATTGGTTTTTAATTACGTAGTCACTGCTGAGTACAATTGTCCCATCGTCCTCTCTACACAGTTTGCAAGCACATCCATGTTGTAAACTGAAGGTCTGTGAAAAAGCCACACTTGTGTTAAAGATTCTGCAGTCTATCCGACTGATTAGAATATAGTGATTGTGGAGAGTTGTAATGTTATAGATTGAGAACCTATCTTCACTTCAGTCCACTTAGTAACCATTGATCACTCCACTCTGTATCTGGTCTGACATCCTGATTCCTTGTAGGTAAAACCCCTGGAATTACATCACTAAGCTTTATATATCTTGCCATAATGTGAACCCGGAAGCTAAGAATGCCATCAGATTGCATCCAAATGAGAACAGAGATTTCCCTGTTCTCCTGGGACCTGCCCACCTATATCCAATGCATTTGATAAATGTATTGGTTCATGACTATCCTTTGTTCTGTTACTATCAAAGTTCTTGTAACTATTACCACAGTGGAACACATCATTCAGGACAACCTGAATCCATGTTCCCAGGCCATGGTCATTCATATTTGCTCATAATTAACCAGTCCTTATTCACATTAGAGCAGAACTTGCCTTTTATGGTGACAGTTTCAATAATTTTGTGCTTACTGATTAAAATGGTATTCAGAAAACATATTAAGAAGGCACTGGGGAGATGGCCTAGTAGGTAAAGTGATTGCCATGTAAGCATGAAGACCTGAGTTCAAATCCCCAACACCTACATAAAAAGCCAAGCATGGTGGTGCATGCCTATAATCCTACTGTTGGGGAGGTAGAGACAGGCAGATCCCTGGGGCTGGCTGACCAACTAGTCTTGATGAATTGGTAAACTCTAGGTTCAGTGAGAGAGTCTGCCTCAAAAATATAAAGGGCAAAAAATAGAGGAAGACACCGATATCAACCTCTGGCCTCTACATGCACACACATATGTGTTCATCACAAATACACACATACATATATATATATATAATTATTTAGAAACTGAATATCAGATCAGAGAGTGAATCTTTCAGTATATTGTAAAACATTTTAATGAGACTCAAAGTGTCAATATTGCAAATGTATATTGGTTTTGTATGAACATGTTAAAGTGTGTAGGGATTGATATGAACCTTTTTATAGATATGTGCTTGGCTTTCATTTATTTACACAGAAGTTATTAAGTTTAGGCAGCCTTGATCCCAAATGCATAGCCCCCTCTTAGCTCACCCTGGACTTCTTTCATAAACTAGTGAATTATCTACTGATTCCTTGTCTGGGCAAAATTTATTCTCTTCTCTGTGCTGCTGTAGTGTGTAGCCTTTAGTGTGGCTAAGGAATTCACATTGCATCAGAGTCTGTTTGTTAAACCTCATGGGCATTAAGGAGGAAGTAGACTGAGTTAAGGCTAAATAATCAGTTAGTGGTCAGGGTGACCTTCCCCTGAGGTCTAGACAGAGGTGGAAGAACAGGAATGACCTATTCTATACATAAGACTCCCTTAAGGATCAAACTAGGGTGGGTTCATTTGTAGGTCAATAGTGAATTAGGAAACTCCATAAGGACTATGCAGTGGATATAAGACACACTACATACAAGTTAGCTTGCCTAAAAACAAGACTCAGCCTAGGCAAGAACTCCTCAGTTAGATTTTTGCTCTAACATAAAAATGTGAAACTCAGGAAAAAACAAGCATTTGAGAGATAGCATTGACTTTCTCAAAGGGAGGGAAACAGTGAATTCACAAGCTTCATTGGGGGATAAAGTCAGGAAGTGTCCACCCACATCAGAATGCTGCAAGTGTTATGTGCAGAAGGATGCCAAGGTGTTCCTTTCCCAGAAGCAGTTTTATCATGCCACCACCTGACTCTGTGGGCTCATACCCAAAAGACAGAGCCTTGCACAGGACAAAAGCCCAGCCTCATACCTGTCAGGTCCCTTTTACAGTTTGGTTCCTTTGTCTCCTATATAGGACAGCATGTATTCTGATTGGGTATCCCATGCTATAGGATTATGACTGGCAGAATTGTGCAGTGCTCTGAGGCACAGACCATGGTGCATTGCTTTCCAAATGTTCTGGGAGGGTCCTGCCACAAGAAAACCCAGACTGCTCTCAGAACTACTGATTGGCCTCGTAATTTTTGTCAAGGTTCAGATCACTTTGTGATGTCTAGCTTGGCTGTCCCTCATTTGTCCACAGATTACCATTTTCTTTCAGCCCTTTCTGAGTGAGCATCTCTAAAACAGGTTTGCATACTAAATTCACAGTATCTCTAGCAACACCGCCATAGCAAATACCCCCTCCTTCCAGCAAATGGCTTTTGACAGCAAGGAGCTTAAGATAAGATTTCATAAAAATAATATGAAATGAGATC